CCAATGGTTTATTGAGGTACCATTATCAGGCTCTAACTATTATCAGTCTAAATCATAAGAGCCTGTCAAATAAAACTATAAAATAAAAATTATAAATAAAATATTATCTCCTTCTATATTGGTTTTATCAAAGAAAGCTTTTAACCTATAGAGAATTTAAATATAATTTCAAACGTGGAAGACTAATTATAATAATAATTGTTTAGTTTAAGAATACAATTCATCAGTTTTTCGGATTTATTAAATTTATAAATTTTCTTTGAAACTCCAATATATTAAATTGCGAACGATTTATACACAAGTATAAAATAGAATGTAGAATGATAGAATTAGATGGTAAAGCAGTTTTTATCGACGTGGCTTTGAACACGACAAATTATATCTACAAGCGATCAATATTAAATTATAAAAACATGTTTAATAGCCCTCTTTTAGTGTTGTAAAATGTTTTCTTTATCGGAAGTAATTAATAATTTAATTTTTGTGTTACACAATAAAATCGTTTGTATTACACAACCCAATTTTGAGAACCATTTGGTCCTTATTGGCCGCAGTCAACATCTAAAAGAACACATAATAATGTACGGATAAATCGTTTACAAAAATTACTGTTGCCGATAAAACGGTTTTATTAATTTTTATTAATTCACGGAGAAACGAACAAATATAATACATTATATATGTTCACAAATGTTGCTCAAAAATAATTTTCTCGGAAGTTTGAAATATTCGTAAAAACTTAATACAATCCTTGGTCATAGAAATATATAATTTAGCATGTAAACATAAGCGTCGTACAATATAGTATGATATGATAAAAATAGGGCGTATTTTTGTAAATAAATAAATACGATTAATGTTCGAAATACCTGTTCGCCGGCGACGCCATTATTTAGATAATGTTATAATTAATTAGGTATGGCCCGACCGAAAATCGCGGTATTTTTGGATCCTATTAGAAAATATTTCAACTTTGGAAGGTACGAAGGTACCGAAAGTGCTACATATACTCACTGGCTACGTATTGTGTATTAATTTTAATTTCCCAGTCAAAAATTACCACGTTTGGCTAACGAAAAGAGTGCCAATCCAAACCAATCCAAATTTCGAACCCATGACCAAATATAATATATACAAACATATAATGATGTATAATTATATAATAATATATAATATATTATAATTAATTATAGCTGGATAAAGTTCTTTCGGAATCATTTGAATGGGTTGAAAGAATGGGTCCGTTTTAATAAGCAATTTGTTATGTAATAAAATCAATTATTATTCGATTAAAATATTGATATATTCATAAATATAATAAATATAATTGATATGATTAAGTATTGTGGGTTAATATACTGTCAATTTATTCTAATTCATATTTGTATGTGTCTTAATCTTGATGGTTAACGACATTAGATAATATATTGTAACGATCGGCTTTCAAACTTTTTATTATTTAATTATCCAATTTGATATATACTCGTTGAATAAACCATGGTAGTTCATTCGGTATTAAATAACAAACATTAATGACTAAACAAATATTTAATAACACTAAATAGCATTTTATTTAACAAAAATTGTAATTATTTTATAAGATATAACAATTGTTTATATTTTTTTTTAATTTTATTTATAAAAAACTGCAACCATAAAGCATTATTTATTATCAATTAGGCTTAGGCTTATGGCAATAATTTTATAATAGAATAATAGTAGTCTGACAACCGATAATGTTAAAACAATACCCAAATCGATTATGCAGAATAACGTTTTCCTGTCTACAAATAATCATAAACTCTTCCGCATCCGTTAGAATCAGGCGTGGATACAGGGTGGGGTGCTATGGGGGCTGAAGCCCCCTCCCCTTAGACATTAGGTAGAACCATATCGGACGTAGGTACTTAAAATATTTAAATAATTAGACGTAAGAAAGACTTCGTAAAAATCGACATGCGCAACGAATTATGGCAGGAACTCACTTTACTAGCCCTCCCTTTTTTCATTCCTAGATCCGCTCTTGGTTAGAATCCCTACGGACCATACCCTAAATGGCCACCTTGTAATACGGTGTCCATTTGCCCAAGTTTTCAGGATACACTTACTCCGCTTATTGACTCGACGTTCATTATTTGGTCGTGAAGCCCGCGCGCCTCACATCGCCACCATCTCTGAGAGTCAATTTTTACTACTCTCGGACAGAGCTTGTATACTCATATGTCTCAAATGTCTCATTACTGTTTTACATCTATTTTACGTGCATTTACTATGTATTTTTATTCAATATTTTATGTATAGGCTTAACGATAAACCACAGATATTTTATTTTTTATTTAAGCACCTTTCTAACTAACAAACTATATCAAACACAGGTACATCACCGACCTTAACAGTAAAAGTATTTATTGTTCTACGGTATGTTTCGGTCGACTACATTGATTATCACGCAGTATAATTGTATTGTGCTGCTATGGTATGTTTTTGACTACCCAAGAATAATGTTTTCAATTTTCAAAATCGTTTGTTGTGAAATATATTTGTATTTTTATTCGTATCGTTTATCGTATTGTTTGGTCATATTATAGAAAAATAATAAAAATAATGTTTATTATTTATTATACACAAACATTAATATACAGATTTTGTGTTTTATATCATTAGGATATGTATTTATATGTTTCCCCAAAACTTTTAAAATATTTCATTTATTAATTTACAGGATTTATGGTCTATTATTATTATTTATTTTTGTGTATACAATTTATGTCATAGGTACAGGAAAAAAAAATTAAATTCAAATCAAACACGTTTTTCAACATAAATAAAATGGATTTAAATTTGAAACTAACGTAATATTTATGTTACCATTACTATTTATTAAATATTAACCATTATAATATAAAATTGTAAAAAGTTTACAATTATTGTACAAAAACTAAATGTTTTTAAGAATTATATATGTGTAATTACATAAATAATTCATTTTATTTTTGTAAATATTGTTAACATAATTTTTAATTTGTATATATTACTAAAACACAGTAATTATTTTAGATTGTTAAAACCATGCATAATATTTTGTGTATTCCTTCATGAAAATAAAAATATGCCCTTTTTGCATTTATTTGTTTAGAAGTATGCTGTAGTAATATTCTGAACGTTTAGCCAAGAGTGACTGATTATAATTCGATTATACATCGTAATTCGTTGTAAGTAGAAATATTTATTTTTATGTTATTCCAAGTTTTTCAGGGCTGTTGACATAGGTGTTGTTTGTCGAATTTACGCGCTACAATGAAATTAAATAATAAAGAAAATTAACCTTTAATACTTATGTAAATATTTTATATATAATATAAATATATATTTTTAAATATCACATTTAATAACCACGCAGAAATATTTAAAATAACATTTAGATTTATAAGTTAAAAAACAATTATAAAATAGCTATGAGTAATAAGTAGAATATTTTTTTTTCGTCTATATTTAGTAATCATATTATTCATAAGATACATTTTACACTGAAAACTGATATGAATTTGATAGAAAAAACAAGTTATTTCTAATTTCAATTAAATTTTTTTTATTGTTACATTTTGTGTCAGAAACGTGAAATAATTAATTTCGCTACGGAAATTTTAAGTTGAATTCGTTGTACAAATACTATTTTGAAATCTGCCAACACGGACAGCAATATTGTTAATAAAAATAAATTATTTATAAGTTTTATCGGTGAAATTTCAAAACGATACCACCGTTAATCACTTCGGTGGTCATGACGAATAAACATTAGACAGAATTCATGGTTTTTTCTTTCTGTTAGGTGATTATTTTTGCCAGTATCATAGTGTTCCGTGTTCAGTGTTATGTCGAAAGTTTTACTCGGGTATAAACTTCATGATGTTCGTAGTACCTAGACAACGAGACACAATTTTTAAAAGTCGAATTTTGTTGTATATTGATTTTATAATCGATTGTAGACAGTGGTAAGATTATATTTTTTGGTGAAAATTGAAGATTAATGGAAATTTAGACACATCATGAAGTAGTATCTATTAAACGGCAGTTCAATACGATACATAATATTTATTTATTTGGATAAACGGCTGGTAGGATCAAATACAGATTTATAACATAGTTAACAGAATTTCGTAAAACAAAAATAGTTCGGGAGTGCGATACAATCGTATAGGTGTGGTTATTATAATACGTTTTAAAAACATTCGCATCACTAACTCGCCCGGACCGCGGTCGTTTTTTATTGAAAACGTCATATTTTGATTATTCGTACATGCACGATCTATGAACGATGTACGAAAACGAAAACAGTTTTTAAGTGTGTTGTTGACAATGAAATTCGTGCGGGCAAAATGGCGTAGGACATTGGGCACCGGAAAAACGGAACGTTCGTGATTTATTGACGGTAAAACCAAGTGCTATCCTGATGCACTTGAATCGACGTAAATCTTGCGGTATCGTGGGCGTATGCGATTTTATTATTTCTTCGAACGCCATAAAACGTTTGTAGCCGGCGGTGCGTGCGCACACGAATAAACAAATATCGCGCAGGAAAATCACCGACTGCAGTTTCGAGAAGTAGCGTTTCGTCGTCGGCACAACTATTTTTAACCATTTCCGAGGACGTCTGGGGAACCGCCGAACAACGTTTCATTCGGAACTCGGTCGATTCACGGTGGTGTTGGACGATAAATAATATACTTTACTCGTACGACGATACGGTGCACAATACGCGTTGCGTTAAATTACACGAGTAATAATAATAATAATAATAATAATAATGATCGACCCGCCATCGACGACCCTAATAATGGGGGGGAAAGGAAAAACAAGAAATGGAGTTCCTACGGCGACGGCACAGCGTGCACCCTTAATCTTGGCCCGCCAGTGATTTGAATAAAACATTGTTGTCGGCGACGGATTGCGCGGGAAACGGGTCCGTGGCGGCGGTGCCGTGGCAAAGAACGTCTAGTGCTGGTCGGGTGCGCGCGGGGCTCGCGTTCCGATCGGCGGTAGCGGCGCAGGCCGCCAACCTAACCGTCGACTAGTCGATTCGCTCGCGGTCGGCAACCGTCGTAGTTGCTGCCGCCGCCGCCGCCGCTGCCGCCGCCGCCGTCGTCATCGACACTGTCAGTGATAACGGCCGAACGCGATAACGGTCGCTCGTCTCATTTGAGGTTATGTTATGTTTTGGGAGAAAGATTTTCGCGACTTCCAAACGCAATCTCGACGTTTTGGTTTCCGGCGCCGCCGCGGCCCGAAATCCGGTCATCGCACCGTGGTGCCGTTTCGCGTTGTGCGCCGTCCGCCGCCGACAAATGGATACGCTGCAAGACCGACCGCTGTTCGCCGTGATTGGGTGCACGGGCACGGGCAAGACGAAGCTCGGCGTGAGGCTGGCCAAGGAGTTGGACGGCGAAGTCGTGTCGGCCGATTCCATTCAGGTGAGGAGCACCCGACACATCTAACGCTTTGCTGCCACCGTGGCGGATGGTCCGAGGATCAGACGTCGTGGTCTCACTTCGGATCCCGGACCGATCGACGTCGGTTCCGGTGCTGGGACAACGGGAGACACGAGGTCGCGGTTTAGAAATGTTTTCCCATTTCCCTCCCCCGTCGGAACACCGGCAAACATTTTAGTCGCGAAAACACTACCGCCGCCGCCGCCGCCGCCCGCGCGCGCACAGAAATTTTGCTCGCGTCGCGCCACCTTTTGCAGTGAACGCCGCCGGACGCACTACGTATAATCGATAACCGTTGCACACGCAAATAACTGATAAATTCGCTGTGGCGATAACCGAGTTTAACGACGTTTGACGAGTTGGAACCGCAGCGAGTAGCGGCCCACACGACGAGTCGGGTTTTCATCCGATTTTGACGGGATCCCGGACGAATTACGACTTTGAGCTAGTGGGGTACCGCGTGTGAACCCCCTGTTTATCGCCGAATCGCGTGTCTCCGGTATTTGAGAGAAGTGTCCCGACCGAAAACGCAGATCCGAAATTTTGCACACTCCGAAACGCTTATCACAAATGCATCGTTTCCTTTTTTTCCTCCGACCTTTACCAAAGCACCTGTTGCGTATTATACACATAATTTTGCATGAAATAAAAATTGAATGTTTCGTCACTACTCGTAAGTGAGGTAGGGATTTTAATGCAAATGCATTTTTTTTCTCGATGTTCCAACACATAGGTCCGTAAGCGAAAATGCGTTTCGAGTGGTATTGATTAATTTAATGTAATTTTTGTATTTTGTTCTCTTTTATTAACTTAAAATGCATTTTTGGTGTATATTTTGCCGTTTTTGGGTGATTGATCTTGCGTTTTGTTGTCTGTCCGCTCAAAACTTGCATGTTAAGTCACTTAAGTATTACGTGTTGAATGTAATCTACTAAATTGATAAACCAACACGAGCATATCACCCAGTGTACCTACTTTATCAAAAGTATAACAAAATTAAAATGGTCAAAAGAAATCGTTCTAATTACGAAAGTCTAAAAACATTTTTAACAGTAATTTATGAAGTAAATTATATTAAAATTAAATAAAATAAAAATATTAAACAAATAGGTACTTATTTATTAATATTATGTTAAATAAATACAATTAAATATGTTCGGTAACATGATTTTTATAATATCGTTTCTACACTATAATAAATACATTTTTTAACACATCTTGAAAGTGCATTTTTTATGATTTTTGCTATTTTTGCTATTTTTTAGAGTATATAATCTCAGCCTTACTCATTCGTTTCACAACTTGTATTAAAGATTCAATATCAGTGCTGTTCACATGTTGTATAAAATAATTCAAATACTTGAAAAAATGTTTATGAAATGTATTGCAATGGAAAATCATCGTTTAAACGTTATTGAACTAAAACATACGATAAGTATCTAGCATACAGAGTGATCCAAAAATCTTTGCTCACAGACTTAACTTGCATCTTTACACATCAGTTATTGTTTTTACAAATAAACAATTATGATTTTTTTTTAATGCTTGGAAATAAAAAAAAAAAAGCAGTGATCAGACTTGGGTTGCGAGCAGACTTTCGAGCCACTCTGTATAATCGCAAAAATACCCATAAAAAATACCATCATAAAAATTGATGATAACTGATACACAGTTATATGCCAAACATAATATTATATACGTTTACGCCCATATCATATACGTATCTTAATTAAACGTAATCAAAGATTACATTGACATTTTATCATAAATCAAATTATTAGCCGGACCCAACTTACCTTTTTTTTCCCCCGGGACTCAAATTTCCGCTTTCAAAAAGTACCCAACTCATCGCGGACCCCAATTACCTAGCTCCTAATTTATGATTACCAATTAATTTTTCTATTAAGTCGTAACTTAAAACATTTTATAAGTTAATTCATAGTTAATATTGAAACGAATAATAGTTAGCAGTTAACAATTCGTATATATTTTGCATTTAATAATGAAAATACGGTGTTGATACGATTTGCTGATATGAAGTTGAAATTCATTGGAAAGTGTAACGTGTTACGTCACAGACATTCTTTCTATAACAAGCGAACAGTTAATAAAATATTTTATTTTTGAACTATTCGATAACGAATCAAATTATGCACAGTAAAATGCAGACAATAATTTCATCACTGATGGTTTCAAGTTTATAAGATCATAACTTCAACCTTAATCCTGGTTTGAATGTGCCAAAATATGTTGTCTCAGCAGTTTATTATATCAGTCTCTTTGTGGTAGAAATATTAATCTTTTAGAATAATTTCATATTCCAATGGACTTGTTAGGTTTTAATCATAACAAGAGTGGTAAACATTATTTGGTCTTATTCCTGGCCAGGTCTATATATTGTTAATATTGTTTTTAGTTTTGCCTTATCTCGTATAAATCCTTCACAGTTTTGTTACAAAACAATTGTATTTTTCATTTGATTTTAAAGAGGATAATCTAAGCGTTATTATATGTAGTTTACTATAATTACTGTTAATAATAACTAGTTTACTGAACAGTTTCTTTGGTTTATATGCATTTTAGATATTTAATTTATTGTTTCTCTGTAGGAAAAGTCACTTGATTTGTCAATGATAACAATTATTGTAGTAAACTGTACTTTTTAGTTGAGCTTTACCAAGGTTGTACAGACGTTTTTAAATGTTGGTGCGGGTGTCTCGAAAATCTTAATCAGGACTTCGATCTGTCTCGGAATTATTGGTAATTACCTTCGTTTCCTCTTTATTTCTTTTTTGTTTTATATAAATAGATTTATATTAATTAGGTAATATGGTTATTATTATTATTCTCATTTATATTATTTATCGGTTTTTTTTCATGCTACTGACCTATTTGTAAATTATATCCAATCGTATTTTCTTAAATTAATACAATGATAATGTATTTATATTTTGCACATAAAACTGTAAGTCCAAATTTATTTTTAAAAGAATAATAATTAGTCTCGGTTTTTTTAATTGGTTTGTTTACTTTAGCTTTACCTGTATATACAATATTCAGAACAGATTTGTTAATAATACCCATATCAAGATTCTATTTTTATATGAATTTATTTTTAAATATTTGTTTATCTATTTGTATTAATAAAAACTAATGTGTTTCCCGTCAATTGTTATTGGACCATTCGACCATTTAAGTTTTCAGAATATTATTGAATTGTTACTCCAATTCACATATACCAGTCACATCATAATTATAAGTTATAATTATATCTTAAATTAGTAAATAACACTAAGTTAATTATATCTTAAAGTTATTTACTAATTTAAGGGATTAAAATGATAAAAATATTTATAAAATCTTAAAAATATGCCCGAGAAAATAACTACATCTTCAGCTGTTTACCGCATACTAATGAAATTGTAGCTGAATTGTAGCATGATATTTAATGTTTTAAAATCATTTTACCAAAGATAAAAATGATTATGTAATGCCACGTTAGTAGAATATTGGATTTAATGGGCGGAAATAACTATTATTTTAGAATTAGTTATCTACTATTTTATATTGACATTCCGAAGTAATTAAAGTATAATATGAATATAAATTCTAATATCCTTAAACCATTTGTAATATATTTCTTTAAATTATTAATAGTTAAACATCATCTTACCATTGATTGTAAATACTAATTGCTAATAAAACAGTATTTATAACCAATAGTACAACCAAAGAATGATAAATTAAAATAATATAGTGTTACTATTTACTTCTCAGTTGTTTGAATAAATTAACTTAAAGATCTAAACCTATTCTATGATTTTTTATGACTTTAAAAAATAGTTTACGAATTATATTAGTTATAATTAAAGAATAAATATTCTATGCCATTATTTTACCTATCTAATAATACAAAACAAATCATTATAAGTAACTTTATTCATTAAAAAAAAAAAAACCTATATTGAAAATAAATAAAAGCTTTTTAAATTTGTTTGGGTGGGTATATTTTGTAATAAAGAGATAACATATGATCTTGACTGAAACATTGTTCAAAGTTTTACTTTTTATCTTTTATATTTACTGCTACAAATTATACAATGTAACATCTGATATATGTGGTATGCACACATGAATACTCCATAGTGTATGAATTATCTAATTATAATTATTTATTAAATATTTATGTTAGCCTTGAAAGATAGATAATTTTTTTTCATCTCGAAAGCCGAATGTTCATTTGAATGTGTCGTACGTTCATGATTCACCTAACGTTCATATCTGGTTTGTAAATCATATATCTTATTTTACACTTATACTTCTTGTTTTTTCAGCCATAAATATTGTAATAGGTTTGGCATTTTTTTAAAATTTAGTGATTATTTTTGATTGAATATGATTAACGGTGATTATTTTTCAACAGTTAAAAATAAAATGCAAATCCGATTAATGTTCATTAAAATTTCTGCGCATACTTATAATTTTTTATTTCATTATATATATTTTTCGAGCTGGACAATTTTTACAACCAAAATTATTATAGAAGGCATGGTGCCAATGGTAAAGCAGTGTGGTTTTTTTTTTAATTTTAACTATAATTCAGCAGTGGGTACCAACCACGTCTGTAGTCGATTATTCGGGAGGGGAACGGCTTGTTCGTTTGAATGTATCCATATGCGCAATATTTGTTCTTTGTGATTGCGGTGACCATATGACAAAGTGTAACACCGTACATACACACACACACACACACACACACAATGACACATCACATGTTTGGCAGTTAAAACGTATACGTTATTTATTCATAATTAGCAGTTTGTAAATCACTATATGTACTACATGTATGTGCACGAAAAGAGTCCACACGTTGGGCGTTTGCGAGTGGAGGCAAAAATAGAGCTCTACTAAACCCGTCGAGAGATCTTGGAAACTTTTGGACTTCCGACTAAAAAAGGAAATTTGTGTCATTATTTAATTTT